GGTCCTTGGATCCGGGCCAGCTCCCCGGTCGCAGCCCGGCCCACTGTCTGGTCTGGCGGGCACGGTGTCCACAGTCGCGTCCTGCCTGGGAGAGAGGTGAAGGGACGTGGGTTCCCATCCAGGCCGCTGCTTCCGTGTACACGGCCTTGCCTGGCGGGGGCCCTCAGCTCGCCTGGCCTGAGCGAGCTGTCTCCAGCCCCGCACCCCCTTCAGGGAGAGGAGCCCAGCAGAGTCGCCTGGGTCACCTGCTGGGCAGGGAAGGTGTGGCACATGCTGGATGGTGGAGGAGCCCGGGATGAAGGTCCTGGTAGCTCCAGGCCTCAGATGAGGTTGATCCTGGAGTCATTTAAACAAAACGGCCTGTTACCCTGTGATGCCCGGTCCTCACTCACTGCTGCAGGACTTGGTACGGTACCCTTTCAGTGGCCTCCAGCTAGTTCCATGCCCCACTCTTCTTATTTTGAGTCTCTTCATGATCAACCTTAAAAAATAGCAAAGCAATTCCATAGTGTGGCATTCTGCCAGCCCAGCTCCCCATCACCACCCACATCTTCCCTGCCCACCACCCCTCATGTCCATAGCTCGGCTGTGAGCCGTGTCCCATCCCCAGGCAGACCAGCTGCAGCAACACAGGCCAGAGTGGCAGTGCCCTGCAGGCCATCCTCGTGCCTGCTTTTGCCCTCCAGTGCCTGGCACGGAGCAGGCCTCACAAAACAACTGTTCAACAAGTGAAAGGAATTCCTTTGAAACCCTGGCTTTCCCGACATAAAAGTCAACACTAATTGGATCTTATTTTCTGCAAAAGATTTTACAGCAGCTGAATGTTTTCACACATTTGTAAAGGGTACTAAGAGCGGCAAGAAGATCTATCACTCTTTTTTCTGTTTGCAAATACACTGTGGAAGATAGTCACATGGCGCTCCAGAGGGGGCTGAGACAGCTGGGGGATCTGCCGTGGCTTAGACTCTGCCCTGGTGAGTGAGATGGGACTTCTAGGGCCGGGACAGGGCAGGGAGAAGTCTCTGGAGAAAATACAGAATGTCCAGGGACTCAGAAACCAGAGTGCAGAACAGGAGCTTGGAGAAGAGCAGGAGCGGTGGTAGACATGGACGGGAGAATCTAGTTCACTCCAGAGGGTTTTGCAAGCTGATGTGGGACCCTAGAATCATCTCAGAAAGCCAACTTTGGGGAGTTTGAGAAGAAGCCAAGCTGCTGGAGCAGGGAACAGTCTGGAGACGTTCCTTTTACAATTCCCCCTTATTTAAGAGTAGCTCAAAGAACCTTGATGACCTCAAATAAAGATGAACAAGATGATTCAATTTAACCAATATTTATTGAGCACTTATTACACACAAAGGCAAGAAAGAAATGTTAGGTGACTGTTAGAAGCAAATATTCCCAATTCTGGTTTTGAGGCACTCCTGTATCGAAGAACTCCAACCCAAACAGAATGCTAAGGAATTATTCCATTTCAAACGCCTGCCAATTTCCTCATGATGCAGCCTGTGACAGATACAAATAGATTCCAGGAAAGTACTTTCCCCCTTTCACTGCAGACTTTACAGACTTCAACATAAATAAGACAGGCAGCACTTTGTTTAGATAAATTTTTATGAAGGTATTAATCCATGGCTTAGTATATATTTCACTGTCAATGAAAAATCCACCTCTATTTAATTTTCTTTAAAAATGAAAGTTTAAAATAAATTACCAGACCTTTAATGCAACCCAAGAAGCAACTTATGGTTTTGATGACTTGAGATCCATTCCAAACTCAACTGGGTATTCAGACTTAACTTGGAATTTAGGGAAAATGCTAAAAACTTCTGGAAGAAATCAGAATAATGTTCCCAAGACTTATGAGGATTTTTGGTTCTGTTCACATTCTTGAACATGTTTTTGAAATCAAATTATGTGTGATGGCTCTAGTTGTCTGAAATATGCATCTGTATGTTAATTTTATGGCGGAGCCACTATAAAATCTCCTAACGCCTGCTTGGACTCAGCTGATCTGAGGTCCCGATGCCACTGCATCTAAATGAGAAGTCAAGTTTTGTGGCTTCCAGTGCATTTATTCATTAATTCATTCAATATACAGTTCTGAAAAGCTCTACCACTGGGCTTTAGGTGTGCAGGAGCGTGCATGCGTGCGTGCGTGCGTGCGTGCGTGCTTGCAATGGGGGCGACCAAACAGCAACAGAATCCAGAAACTCCCAAGCCCTCAGAGAAGGCGGAGGTAGGGAAGGCTCCAGAGACTGGATGACAAATGACTTTGGGTCTTGAAGGATGAGTGGAGGAGGAGTGTGCCAGGTAGTCTGACCTGGGCCCAGGGAACCACTTACTTGGCGGTCTCATGTGGTGAAGGACATGATGCTCTGGGGCACTGTCTGCTGCGCATGGAGCTGGACAGAACGTGTGCCTGAGATGCGCACTGAGCCACAGAGCTGGCACTTGACCCTGTGGCCAACTGAAAGCCTCTGTCAGGACCTATGTGAAATACTCCTGGGTGGCAATCAATAGTACCTGTCCTTCAGAGAGGAAACAGGGGTTGGCTCTGCTCCGGTACTACCCTCCATGACACCATCTAGAGCCTGTGCCCTGGAACTGAGGCACTCGCATGACTTCCTGTGGGTGTTTGTGCCTTCCCTCACCATATCCAGAGTTCCTGGGCATCAAGAAGAGCCTCCGTTACATTTCACAACTGGTGGGGCCAGACAGGCCACCTAGGTGTTCCCTGAGGGGAGGAAAAAGAACTCTGCCATGAAAGGCCTATGTCTCTGAAAAGTTTTTCAAAAAAATCCTGAACTTCTGGAAACGCTGAAAAATGAATATGATAAGCATATTGTATGCATACATCCCCCCCAACACACACCTTCAGTTGAGGGGGATCGAACACAGGACCTAGCACTTGAGAGGCAGGCAGGGCGCTGCTGAGCTACATCCCTGGCCCCGCACACTGTATACATGTATGTATTGTATATCCACATAGTGTGTACCGCCGAATATGGCTGTGTACACTTGCCCTTGAGTGCCTTGGTGTGTATCTCGGGACGCAGATGCCGGCCCACATAAGTGCACCTGTGGAGACTGGACATTCAAACTACCATCATTTAACAGACCCTCCACACTGACGTCGTCCCCAGATGACCTTCATGGCTTTCTTCTTTTTAAATTCAGGACTCAATTAATCTGTTTCTCTATGATTAAATTCAGGTTAAATGTTTTTGGCAAAACTACATTTCTGTTTCCTCCTACATCACATCGGGGGCACGTAATCTAAGTGTACCCATCATTGGCCAAGGTTGGTTACTTGGCTGAAGCCATTCTGCCAGATCTCTTCGTGGTAAGAGTACATTTCCCTCTTTTACAGTAGAACTACAATCAATATCCTCTCTACAATCCGTGGAGTGATGGCTAAAAAATGTTCTGGCTCCCAACAACATTCTCCCAGTGTGCTGAGTGTCAGCGATGATCTGCTCCTGGGCATGGAACCTCTTTACTCTTTAACTCAACATCCCTTCTTTTATTACCTGGCAGACCTTAGCAAAGACCACCTTCCCCCAGCCCAGAACTGGCTATTTCATTTGTGAAATCCAGCACAAAATGTCCAACCTCCTTAAAAGAGAACTTCGGCATGGCAAATGGTGGGGTATTAAACCGAGCCGAGGGTCACAAACTGCCCTCAGGAAGCAGGCCCACCCCGGGACATCTGGTGCACACATGTGCTTTGGTTCCTCTGCTCCAACTGTCCCCGTTTAGGCTGGCTCATATGTCTTCTTGACATGTTGTAAGTGTTGGAGGACTTTGGACCTTTCTGCAATAAGATGGTCCCTGGGCTCACTTTGCTCCTTCCTTGCCCCCCAAATGGTCAGCCATTTCTCCAGGCACCACTGGCTTCTTTTAGGAGGGGGAAGCCTGGCTAGAGAGAAAGAGCATCTTGCGGCGCTCACTGCCGCGTGGCTGCCCTCGCTTTTGATCCTCCCCGGGGGCAGGGAGGAGCGCGTCCTGAGTGTACACCGACTCCTCCACCCAGGGAGGGCTCCCCCACCTACAGGGTCTCACCTGCCTGT